TGCATCATTCTTTTATATTTTCGTGAGTATCAAATACTGATTCAGCAAAGAGCGAAAACGTGATAATTATGATGATGATCATCATCATGTAGCAGGTCCTTTGCAGAACGTTGCTCATCCCGGTCGGCCTGAAAGAATCTTGGTCTCTCGTCAGCTCTCCCACCTTATGTACTTTCATACTCAAGGAGTCACTTATATATTGTCCCCATATTCGTGTTGGTCGGCCCCTGCCCCTCCTTCCTGGTACCAAGCCTTCTGCTATTATTCTTTCCAAACCGTTGTGGCGCTTGATGTGACCAAAATATTTCTGCTTCCGAGACAGGATGCTGTTTATTAGCCAATCTTCCTTGATGTTCAGATTCTTCAAGATGTCAGTATTTCTCCTCTTCTTTGCCCAAGATAATTTGAAAATATTTCTATAGCATTTCAGCTCAAAAGCCCCTATTCTCTTTCTTAAGGACTAGGGGATAGACCACCACTCACATCCGTATGTTGCTACAGGGAAGATGCCTGCTCTCAAAATTCAAATTTTGATATCCTTGCATAGACTTTTTAGGCTAGTTAATCTTTTCATTAATATGGCCATCCTCCTTTTAATTTCCGCCATACAGTCTCCATTGCTATTTATTATAGAGCCTAGATATTCAGAGTTTGTGACATTTTCAGTTTCTTCACCATTTATTTTTTTTTTTTTTTTTTTAGATGACAGCCAGTTTTATCTGTGGACATTGTATTCGTTTTGAACATGATCGCATACTAATATTTACCAGAACACAAAACCACCCATATCAAGACAAAACATCCCATTTGTAGAACACTTTGCTTCAAATATTACTGTGGACTATGTATATATATATATATATAAATCAATGTTTGTGTGTATGTTTGCCCCCTATAGACTCGGAAACTACTGAACCGATTTAGCTGAAATTTTCAGGATATATTTGTTTTGATACCGGATGTTGAACCATCATGGTTTGAAATTCAACCTGTCACTGTTAGAGATAGGTGACCACAATTTAAACCATAATATTCGAAACTAATATGTATAATTTTAGTGATTTCTAATTATAGCCACGTTAGTAATTGCGCATGCGCCGTGCAGCCAACACCTCCTCTAATACATAGAGTAGGTCGTGGTACAGCAAACAAGACTATATCTATATCTGTCCAGGCAGTGATTGCCACAATAACTATATTAGACACGATTTCTATTTTCTGCTTTTTATTCAAACATCCTTCGATGAGTTGAAAAGTAGCCGATGGATTGGTAGGGAAAAAGAGGGGGGCGGGGCATCAGGGACTATCTCGACGTCTGCGCAGACATTGACTGCGACATTAACCGTGTTAGACACGTGCGATTTCTTTTGTTGTGCCGTTTCATTAATATATTTGGAATATCTGTCTATAAGAAAACAGTTGCCTGCTGTTTTGAGTTGTGTTATAATCGGGACACTGCAGCAGGGACATACATCTAAAATAGTTATGTTCTCTTTTCATTATTCAGATCGAGTGGTTGCTTGGTCGAATAGTTAGAACACTCGGCACTTGAGAGGGAGACCAGGGTTCGAATCAGCAGTGGTTTTTTTTTTTTTTTTTTTTTTTTTTTTTTTACTTAGGGCTAAAATAAAATCCTCACCTGCACTGTCGTGGGGACAGCACTAGCCATATGGCCCTTAATAATATATATTTAAAAAAAAAAAAAAAAAAAACAAGGACAGGTTTGTGGGTAAACCAGTTGATAATTAAATTTGACCATTTCACATACATATGATTTCATTTTAAACTTTCCGATTGTGCATGTTTACGCTGAAATTTCATAGCTTTCCATTTATTTTCATTTAGATTTAATTATTTCATCTGCGTTGAAATTTTAAGCTGTGCTGTTTACCATAGCGTTCATTTCCTAATTCTATTGTATTTTTCCTGTTTTAATTGCTTTTCAATTGGGTTTTCTCCCCTCTCAACTACTTCGATGAGGGAAAGAGTAGTTGGTGAATTTGGGGGGGGGGGGGGGGGGGGGGGGCAAACTGATTACTGAGAGAGCTTTAAGTCACAGTAACTGCTTTCCCCACTCAAAGTAGCAGCAGCAGTAGTAGTTGTGGTTGGGCGGTTACACCGTAGTGCTCTCACGTGAAGACCGCCGGTATGGTTATGGCATTCTTCTGTCGGGGAGCGAAATCATACATCCTAACATGACCAGTCCGTGGCGAGAGCACTAGCCATGCGGCGCCAAATCTTCTGGCTCACGACTCACTGTCTACTCCGATGGTAAAACAGATAGCAGTGACATTATTTTAGCTACTGTGGTGGTGGTCGTGGTAGTAGTTATACTGGTACTTGAAGGATGATGCGGTAAATATTACATTAGCTTCATTCACTACCTATTACAATTCCTGCTCCCAATTTAGTCCGGATGGACAGGAATGTCAATGTCAGTTACAACAAAAAGAATATCGCCAGGTGATGATTTTTCAATCCTTCGAAGAGGGAGAGAGCAGTAGTCGGTGGAAGAAGGGAGGGGAGAGGGTAATGACTGAAATTTACGAGAACTTGAAGAGCTTAACACATGATTTTTAAGTTCTCATTACTTACTTAAATTGTTTATATTTTACTAACGCTACCTTCACTATTCTAATTTTGGTAAGACTTACTTTGTTATTTACAAGTACAGTAGTAGCTTTACTTACGTCTCCTATAAAAATACAAACAGCTTTAGCATGTGATAACCAAAAAACCACGTTTGTTACTGTGCTAATAGCACTATTTAAACGACCACTAATATAAAGACACAATTATATGGTGCGTGTTCTAAAGTTGGAAAACCAGACTATCTCTATATAAATGTGCAGAGAGTGATTGCAACATTAACTATATTAGACAGGTTCGATTTCCATTGTCTTTCTTTTCTAAAAACCTTTAAAACCTTTGATGAGGGAGAGGATAGTAGGTGGATTTAGTTGTGGGGGGGGGGGGTGGGGATCAAAGACTATCTCTATATCTGAGCAGACAATGATTGTATTAGACACGTGCGATTTCTATTTTCTTTCATTTCCATTTAGCCAAACTATGCCACAGCAACGCGTGGCGGGTACAGCTAGTATATATATATATATATATATATATATATATATATATATATATATATATATATATATGTATATGTATGTATATATATATATATTTATATATATATATATATATACATATATATATATATATATATATATATATATATATATATATATATATATATATATATATATATATATATATATATATATATATATATATATATATATATTGCAGGACCCTTAATTCAGGCGCGGACGCAAATAATGTTTAGAAAAGGCATGGTTTCGGATCGCAAGACCAACTGCTACATACAAAAGCCGGTGAAAACTCTTGGCTAAGACGTTTCAGAAATAATTTTTTTTTTCAATGTTACTTTCAGTGTGTGTATTTAAAAAAAAATCAAATTTGTGTTTGTTGATCTTGTAGTTACATAAAGGTATGTTTTGAAAAATCGGAGACTGAGGCAGCGTGAGATTTAGCAACAGTCCACTTGGCGTTGATTTCGGTAATAATAAACTTGTCATCATCATCAAGTGTCTTTCCGGCTGAAATGGACGATCATTCCTCTTAGCAATCTGCGATCTTCAACAGTATGTGTCAGTTCGTGTTGTCACCCTTCTATGCCATGAAAACAGTTGCAAATAATCTTCTTGTGTTATCGTCCTCTGTCCTGTCCTCAACAGATCTTTTAAGAGGCGATAAAGAGGCACTCAAGAGATAATGTACACAAGAACAACCACGTACAGCGACAACCCTACAGGCAGCAAAAACACTTATTAAAGCTATAAACAGAGAGACTTGGCTGAACAGATGGGCCATGGGAGATACAGAAAGATAGGTTTATAGACACATGGTTAGTCCTGATCCTAATGACAGCATTACTCATTTAACAAAAAGGGTCCAGGTCACCATCTTCAGACTCAGAACACAACAAACTCCACTCAATGGACACCTAAACAGAATACAGCCACAACAGTGCCCATAGTTCTAGCTATGTAACTACCCCTAAGAAACTGTTGACCATCATCTCTTTGAGTGCCTAAAACTCAACGAGACTAGAAGAATGCTACTCCCTCTGAGACCAGACAGGTGGAACACCTTACGCAGGAAAAGAACAGCTTGTGAAAACATGTAAATTCCACTACATGGCATTGGGCTAAAGAGCGAAAGCTCATGCGCCTTTAGATCAATAACAACAACAACAAGAGGCGATAACATGTTTTGTTTTCCTTCTCTTGAGAAGATGCCCCTCCCCCCCCCCCCACCACACACACACACACACAAAGAAATATCTATGCTTCCCTTTTGGGTTGTCCGAAAAATCATAAAGACTGTTCTCTAAAACCTAACTCCAAAGCCTCGATAAATAGTTTCGTGTGTTTATTAACTGCCCAGGGTTCGCAGCCCAATGGGTCTACTTAGTGTTCAATAATTGTTATTTATTTTATAAAATCCAGTCTTATGCTGGTTATTGTGTAGTCAACACCTCCATTCCTTTTTATTGGATATTGTGCAGTTAACACGTCCATTCATTTTTGTTGGATATTGTGCAGTCAACACCTCCATTCATTTTTGTTGGATATTGTGCAGTCAACACGTCCATTCATTTTTGTTGGATATTGTGCATTAACACGTCCATTCATTTTTGTTGGATATTGTGCAGTCAACACGTCCATTCATTTTTGTTGGATATAGTGCAGTCAACACGTCCATTCATTTTTGTTGGATATTGTTTTAGTCAAATAAGCAGAAGCACATATCTGAAACGGCAATCATTCTCTAATAAACATTGTTATCACATATTCGCTTGAAAGACAAAAGAATAAAACCTCTTTAGCACGTTTATTGATCACACAGCCACCCCAGAGTGGCTTTTGATAGCTGATGTTACTAAGAGACAACTCTGTATAAGGAATGGCTTACACCGGGTTCCCTCTCTGGCATGCAGCTTGACAGGCAGCGATATTGGGAAATCTGTTGTCGTTGCCATTACACAGTCCATAAACGAACGTTTCACATGCTCCAGATGTTGAGTTGTAAAAGTACTGAAGGGAGTAACCCCTACACTCTCCCGAATCGGGTGGCAGGCTACACACTGAAGCTGAAACATAACAATGCTGATATAATTGTATGTCAACAAGTGCATACTTATAACAAAGGGCATACACACGCACGCACACATACATACATATAAACACACACACACTCGCGCGCGCGCACAAAGGAACTGTTAGTGTGGAATACTTCGTAGACAACAGTGGACAAGATCCTGAAATTGACAACAACAAAAAAGAGTCATTCAACACTTGGTGTGATGAAAGGCTGTATTGTCAGCCGAAGAAAGAATGGTATTGTTTGAACTGCATTACTCTCAAATACTACAGTAATTGATTGAAGTAGTATGAGGACAAAAAATGACACAACCACTAGTTTAGAAAAAAAAAGCTAAATTTCAAAATGTGAACAATTTCATCCCTAGGGCTTCAATGCGGCAGCAGGGATGCCTCAAACATGATGTAACAGTGAAGATAATATATTTGACCAACAAACAAAAAACGTTGGCAGCAGGATTGTTATTTCAGATTATCGGGGACCGAGACAAGGCCTCAGCCCATATATATATGTTGCAGTACTTGTGTAAGAACGCATCAGCTACCGGGTTACCCACTGGCTCGCCAGTAGACGACTTCATCGCTGGGCAGGACAGTATTTCGGTCTGTCTCCTTTGATCGCATCAACACTTGGTGGAGTGCAATGCTAAACCATTTTATGTAGCGCACATAACCTAGTCACAATTATAACCTAAAGCTCCCCCTTTGGGGATGCTGGTTGAATGTGACGTGTGTAAGAACACTTCTGAAATAGCGAACAGAGCAAATGTATCGATGCAGTTTGCAGTTCACATGGTCCGGAGATATTTCTGGAGTCCCGTAAAAGATTTATATTAATGTGTTTGATAGACAGATCGGATGACTAGATATCTGTGGTATGCGTGCATCTTCAATGATCGCAGCGAAGATAATTGTCTGATCTCACCCTATGTGAGTTGTCCTGGCACGGCATTCTTGAGGCGACTGCTGGACTGCTTTCTCTGTCATTACCATATTTTATGAGTCCCTGGTCTGTTGTATCACTACGTCTCTTCGCACTTTAGCCCAGGGTTTGAGTACCACGTGACCGCCCCCATGCCCTCGGCCGCGTGGGGCGATTTCCGTGTAACCCATGATTTCTCTTAATTTTAGTCAATTTTGAGTAGATTATATCGCATCTTTTACCTTCCACTTCCGACCTGTCGTTACAGCGGGCTGGACAGCTGCTACTGTGGGGTCTGAAGACTATCAGAGCATCATCGCCAGTCTTACCTTTCCGACTTTAGACTCTCCGGATATCGGCTTGAACAAAAGAACCAGCTTAGCCTGCTTACTATATAGATTTACGTCGGTCCGACAAGGCGGCACTCTGAGTCACTTTCCCGTGGCGGTGTTGATTTTCCGATCTAGTTCCTCCACGGCGCTGGTGTTAACTTCGTACTATAGCAGAGGCCAGAGGAGCTTTAGAATCAGCAGGATTTGGAGACAGCAAATATTTAACATCCCGAACAGATTGCACTGCTCGATATCAAGCAGGCCTGTTGCCAGGGACTCATGTATACGCAGGACATTCATTCTATGAAAACACTTCGAATCGTAGACGCAGGAAGGAAAGATCAACTTAGGAACGATGATAACAGGAGGACAACCGGCACAGAACCAACAATAAAGGTTATAGGTAGACAACAAATTAAATGGTTTGGCCATGTAACACGATTGACAGCAGACAGGGCACCACAGAGAGCAATGTTATACAGACACAGTGGTAACAGACCCAGCGGTCGACAACGCAAAAAATGGACTGCTTCAATATCTGAGACACTAAAAAGCGAATAGAAGGGCCCGTTCCTCCCCTGACGCCGCGAGTCATTCCAGGAGTAGAGGAGAAAGAAAGAAGAAAAAGATAAGACGTTTTATATATAAAGTGTGCTATATATATATATATATATATATATATATATATATATATATATATATATATATATATAGCACACTTTACAAAGTACAACTTACAAGGCTCGTTTCCAAAAGCGTGCATGTAGAGAGAACCCAGCAGGAATATGTAATATATCGCATTCATGTTAGAAGATCAGGATCTCTATTGAGTAGTCGACTTTTCGGCAATGAAAACTCGAAAACACAATGGTGCTTGATCTGTCAGCAGTTGAACAGTCACCTATGGCTGTTTTATGGTACTGTTATCACTGCAGCGGGCGCAACAAGTATATAGCAGACAGTCACCTGTTACTAAATGTTTAACCTCTTGTTATGTGCATTTATATTTGATTGCGCAATCAGCGAAATTTTGGAACGGGCTTTGTGATTATCGAGAGGTGACATTTGACTCTTTGGTAAGCCACGCACAGCTGTCGACCAGCATTTATGGAAACCAATTGTATCAAGCAATGGTTCAATTATAGAGGTGATCTAACAACTGCGATTGCTGTCTGTAGTTACTACAGACGAAAAAA